ATAGAAGTATATATCAATTTGCGATTTTGCCTCACAATATACTTTCATCTAATTTGTAAGAGATTTTAAATATATAAATTTTGGCTTCCATTTCCACTTTAAGGTAGTCTATAAATTTTAAACCTAAAACTCTCCCAGTTTTGACCCTTGTTAAATTGTTTTAATAGGCAACAGCCATCAAAATAACAAAAAATTGCAAGCGCGGGCCCCTACCCTTGTTAAATAGATAAGTTACCTGAAAATTGTTTTGAAAGGATTTAGCTGTTTAAGGGAGTTTTTTGTTTAAAATATGCACAAAATTTTACAATCATGGGAGTTTACAATAATTTTATAGATAAGTATCAGTCAGACTAAAAGATCAGTCGATTGGGATAGTCGCTGTAAACTGTATATAACTGGAAAATGGAAATCCTGGAACGGTTTTGAAATGCAGTGTGGACAGATTTTGCTCATGTTATGCCTAACTAACCAGTGGGAGAGCGCATAAGTGCTGATTTATATGCAATGTTGTCCCACCGTAGAACAGAGTTCAAAATTTCCTTCTTGTTTATTGATGTAATGGCGGCAAATCGACAACATCGAGCTGTTAGCCGATGTAGTGCTTTTCGAATTCAACAGTGATTTCTCGAAATATGTCAGTTTGGTTGTATAACATTCCATCTCAAACGCATTGACCAGATCATCGGTAGCTAAGTAAATATTGCACAGAAAATTCTTAATGGACTACTGTGTAATTCATCAAATACAACAACTCTTGCGAAATTTGCATCACATTTTGACCCTGATGAGATGCCGGTATATCAGAAAACGTTTTATATATGGCTCAGTCTGATTCGGCTTTTTCCACGGAGCAGCTCGTAAAAAGCAAATTGTGTATTTGGCAGTTCGAAAGTAAACAGAAGTCACTTCAGAGCAACCTTCGTCATTGTCGGCGATATGTCGAACGGTGATGTAATTGTGGGCACTTATTGAAGTCTGCAAATAATTAATAAAATATACATAAATGTTGCTTGTAATATCAATGTATTCACATATTTGATTGTGAATACGGCTTGTTTTAGTTTGTCGAGTATACCAGAGAACGATGAAGCGTTCTGTTCATTTTTTTGCAGCGGTACTGGCATGTCATTTCAATATCGCAAAATAAACTGCAGAAAAGAATGCTGTTTTTCTCTTATAATTCTTAGGCACGTACACCAAGAAGATTTATTTTTTAAAATGTAGTCGGCGTCGGTAAAAGCATCAGGCGGGCTTAATACTGCCTGATTGCGCAGTTGTAACCATAATACGTTCTATGAGCGTGTAATACAACATCTGCAGCGTACATGCAGACGTAAGTGCAGTATGTTTGCAGACATGTTGTCCAGAACTTGTCAATAGCATAACGAAAAGGTGGTTGCACAATCGCTTTAATTTAATTTGCGAGCGCGAGAGCAAGGGATCGGTCCGCAAATTATTTTGCCAAATGGATTTTTACTAATCTTCCCGAAATGATTAATCTTGTCTCCGGCAAAAGTGCTCTTTGCTTGGTGCGTTTAGCCATAACTGTTCCCAAACAACAATATTGAACAGGCGACCAGTGCATGATTACGTGGTCGGAAATCGATAGGATCGAGGATGAGAGTCGGATAAAATGCGATGGTACGTGTGCTGAGCAGCCAGAGAAAAAGTTGTCAACTTAAGAAGCACTGAAGCAGGCCGACCAAAAAATCTCATATAGCTGGCGAAAAAATATGGAGCAAGCGCGCTCAAAAACACGAGTTGTCCTTGCAAATTTTTCGACAGGAAACGGCTGCACTGAATGGTCTACCGCCCAGTGTTTTCCATAAAAGCCGTGCTTGATTGAGTAGGCGACTTCCTGTTGAAAATTCGACATCTTTTAGAATCTTTGCAGTATTGTTTACGCACAGACGGAGCGAAAAACAGTCACGATATACCACCCAGGTGGTCCTGTAGATAAATTTAACCTTATAAACCATTTCATTGCTGACGACGGAAAAGTAGGTTGTCAATACAATTCTACAAACACCCGCGGCATTGGGTGCTTTAAACCTCCAGAATATTAAGTATAAGTCTCTATCCGATTTCGGATCCACAGGAGATAATCACAACTAGATGCTGGTAGATCTGTTCAACCTTAATTATTTTCAAGAGTCATTGAAAAGATATAACGTAGGTGTATATCAGTCCAAACTTGACAAAACAAATGGCACTACTCTTGTCGTCTGGTCCACAAACGGATAAAAAACGGTTAGAATATATAATAAGCTGAAGGTAAGCGCATAGAAGAAATGCCGACAACTGTGAACACACCGACCGGCTTGTCTTTCCAGCTGGCATTCAAAAGTAATTACTAATTTACAACATGCTAATTTTTTCAATCATCCCTGGCGGCAGGAATGCATCTCCCGCGTTGCGTTTTATTTCGAAACGGCCAAATGTTTTTACTAAAAATGATGACTTAAGTGGTCACTTTTAGTAAAAACATTTGATAAGCGCATCCGTGCTTCCTGACAATATTGATTGTAGTGCTTTATTTTATTTATACCTATACATAGTACATGCAATGTACTGTACATTGTACAATATAATTAAAGCCTACCTGCATAACGCAACATCAGTGCAATAAGATATCGCAGTCTGTGATCATGATTGTGCTCTGCTTCGTAGGTTATGACTTTATGTACTTACAGTTTTCGGCCTGTGACCTTTGAAATAGCACTTCTATTGATTCAAAAACTTTCAAAATATAAATTTTCTGCAGGCAGTTGCTGCACAAACTTAACCAGTAATTATTGAAAAGGTTACAATTCGGCACTTATCCGCATGGAATTGCGCTTTTCAGTTGCGTAAACGCAATTCTTGCGCCCTTACGATTAAACGACATCCGCGCGATGTTCCGCTAGAAGTCTGGCACGACTTAATGCACCCAACAGGCATATTAAACCACATTTTTGATTTGATTTTAGATGTATCTAGCTAACCGTTTCACAATATCAGCCCTAATTCGAGGTTTTCAAAATTTTTGAAGCTTCCAATTTTCCTAACTGGACGCACAGAATTGCCACCATAGTTTTGTGCAACAAAAGTCTTGGAACCTGGAATGATGTGTATCAGCTATCGAGTACAGTACGACCGTACGTACCTGGGATTACCATTAATTTTATAAGACTTAACAGTTTTTATATTAGACTCAAGCAGTCGGAGTCCATTCGAAATACTTGGATACGCAAGCGATTCTGGATACGCAAGCGATTCAGAAAAATTCGGAATGTAATTTGCATAAATCGCCATTTTCCAGAGCTAGAACATTCTATTTAACGAACTAAGTAAAGCCTCCATTTCCAGCAAATTAAAATAACTTAAAAGACACAGCCAAACATTAAATCTTGACCATATATAAGCAACTCAAACATTCACAGAATAAAACGCTTTAAGTTCACGCAAAGAACGCGTCGGGTGTCAAATCTTTAATAACGCATGTGGCATATGTCAGATCGTTCAACTCCATTCGCGCTGCATGGCAATGATAACCTTTGCAGGCAGTCTTGGTCCAAACAGTGGATTCAACTGACATAAATATGCCACTAACCAGCTGTAAAAAAACGCAACATCTCATCCAAATTATAAAAGTTTCAATACCATAGGATAAAATTATTAATGTATGATCACAATTAAAGTACTTATATGTGAAGGCTTTTCAAGAATAAAGAAATTAGAAACGTCGACAAGCGCAAAGTCTCCGTGTCACTTACAAAGTGTAGCAGCAGACCGCCGTCAGCGCAAGCATCGTTCGTATTAGCCTACAAAGTAAAGAACACATGGGTGAAAATAATAAGTAAACAAAATATGTCCACATCCAATCCTACGTACGTGATAAGACAATGACTTTAAAACAGAATAATACGCAAATTTAAACACTGGATCACTTATCAATTTTAAATTACGTAAGCATTTACTTTCCTTACAGCAAAGATTGCAAATAGAATCTTAACAGGTCAATAAACTGGGAGTTCATGTTTAAAAAAATGCAAAAAAATCCAGAGTTCTCATTTTAAAGCCATATAGTCATACACTTATATGTAATCGCTCGTGCTCTCCTAACTTTCTGCTAACTTAGATTATACTCCTCTGGCGGCTGATTAAACAGACTCAGAAAGCAATCAGAACGCTGCATTTCAATGTTAAGAGCTCTTAATTTTATTTCTTTCCCCTTGGCGAGTTTTAGCACTTTTAGGTAATAGTAAAATAGCCAATAGAGCTCCTCGAGCAGATGTAGAGTTATAGCATAGCAGAAGCAAAGGCTCGGCCTGTACGAGCAAAAAGCTCACCCTCTGTCCGTATTTTTCGGAACCAGAAAGGGGCCCAGGATGCCAATAGCAGCCCAAAACAGGGTAACCACGATCATGGGGATTTCGATCCCCATCCTGAAGAATTCGGCAGAAACCTACGGAACAAACACACGCTGAAGCAGATATCACATGACTGGACTCATGTCGAAACCCAATGGTACAAGCATGCAGTGTAACACGCTGCAACCATTTCCAAAGGTTTTCATGCTTCCCATAAAAGGCAGACGTTTCAATACATACCTTCACAAACAAAAAATAATCACCAAACTTCGAAGAAAATTTAAATAAGTTTTCCTGAACCCTTCTACTTCTAGCTGTATGGGCTTGCAGTCCTGGCAGCAAAGATAATCGATTTCTTGGATGGAGGCTCAAAAACATCCACAGGGGTGGCAACTTGCGACAGTGTATACTTGCTGCACAGTGAACGGAGCGCGCATGCACCTGTGGCCCTGTGCAACCCTTGCACTGTCGCTTTGCAGCTGCCGCACTAACTGTGACGAATCGCCGCCCGCGCGGCAGAGAGCTGTTCGAATATGAACTACCCTTCGGGTGGCTGCTTAATGAGGAGCATGGCACCCTAAAATCAAAAACAAGCGCGAACGTGAAAACAGAAAGGACTCTTGAAGTGGAAACTGGAAGGACGCAAAAGGCAAAAGTACAAAACTGAAATATTAGTTTTGTTGTTACTACCGTAGTATTTCATTTCAAGTCGATAATGACCATTTTTTCGTGCAAACAGCACATTTTTAGCTTGTTTCGGTTCCTGTGTTAGGTTTTATAGCCTTGGTTTACTTTTGTCAGATTTACAAAAGTTACGTACGAGGTACAGAAAGGAAAGAGTTGTCACCTCAGCCTCTCCTGCCAGATCAACATGACGCAGTCGTTTTCGCCACCAAACAGTCCTTCGCAGAAACTCACCCAGACTTTCGGTACGTACCGTTCGGAGTCTTCGTCATCCATTTATAGCACGTTATCAGACCGCCATTTGCCACCCTTTTCGGACCCAAACTCACAGACGGACCCGGGACAGACGTTTTACATACTTGTTGCCTCGGATTGTCATCTGGGTTATGCTGACCGAGATGAAATGCGCAGAATAGATTCCTTCCAGTCGTTTGAGGAAGTTCTGGATACTGCAGTAGAACAGGATGTGGATTTCGTGCTTCTGGGTGGCGATCTGTTCCACGAGAACAAACCATCCCGTTTCGCGGCTCAACAGTGTGCGAACCTGCTGCGACATTACTGTATGGGAGACAGGAAGACAAGCGTCCAGTTGGTTAGCGATCCCGAAGTCAATTTTGCCCACATGGCTCCCATGTTCCGACGGTTAAACACGAAGGATCCGGATTTGAAGATTTCCCTGCCCGTATTCTCCATCCACGGAAACCACGATGATCCTAGTGGATCGCGATATTTGAGTGAGCTGGATCTCTTGCACACTTACGGACTGGTTAACTACTTCGGAAAAGTTGAGAATATTGGTAAGCGAAATTGCGAAAACGCTTCTGTTGGCTCTGTTTTTAGCTCACCACGCCAGTTTATTTCTTCATGGCTCTTGACTGCTGTGCCATTTTCCAGATGTAGTTTGCGGCTCAGAGATTTTTGCCTTGTGTTGTTGCTTTCCCCGAACAAGTCAAACCTGATTCTTGGTGTATTTAGCAGTAGTGTAAATTGTGGTTTAAGTTCGGTTAAAGTTTAGCAATATAAATAGTGTAAATAGTGGTATTCTGCATTTTGAAGAAACTTGAGATACTTTAGTAGTAAAATAATGCGTTATTAAGCTTCGTATAAAAATTTTATTGGGCTAGTGGTGGCGGCGAGAAAAATGTGCTTTAATGAAAAACTGTCGTATTTTCAGAGGAAATCGAAATTGAGCCCTTGTTGTTCAAGAAGGGTCGCTCGAAATTGGCCATTTACGGACTCGGAAGTATTCGAGATGAGCGGCTACATCGTGCACACATCCATGGCAAAGTGAAGTTCGTAGAGCCACCTGGTGGACCGGAGCAGTGGTTCGATGTTTTCATTTTGCACCAGAATCGCCCCTCTCTCCGCGGTGGTACCAACTACATTCCCGAAACATTCATACCGGATTGGATGGATTTAGTGATCTGGGGACACGAGCATGATCCCATTCATATTCCGGAAAAGAGTAAAGTGAGACGCTGCGACATACTTCAGCCCGGCAGCACTGTGGCGACGTCGATGAGCGACGGGGAAAAGAAGCAGAAATACTGCTATCGGTTGGAAGTGTGTGGAGGGAAGTATCGCACGGATCCGATTCCGTTGAAAACAGTGCGTCCTTTTGTTATGGAAGATATTGATCTGAAATTGGCTGGGTTAAAAAAAGATGACATTACACTGGGAACTATCCGTGCTGATGTCGAGAAGTATCTGACTAAACGAATGGAACGCATCATCCGGCATGTGGAAATTAATCGCGGGGAAAAACAACCAAAAGAACCGCTTGTGCGTTTACGTGTCGACTTCGGCAACATTGAGCCTTTGAATCCGATTTTGTTTGGACAAAAGTTTGTCGGTCGGGTTGCCAATCCGCGTGACATAATATTACCAGTGAAGTCCAAGGAAAAAGTGCCTGCGAAGGATAAGAATCTGGGTAAAGCAGTTTATAAACCGACCATCGTGCTTGATACCGTTTCGATCGAAGATCTTGTGGTGGATTATTTCGTGGCCAAGTCGGACGAGATGGTTTTGTTTGATCCAAAATTGCTTACGGAAGCATTGCGCGAGTTCGTTCAAAGCGTGAGTTTTTTGTAAACTGACAGTAATTAAATTGTACCTAGTTTGTAGTTTTCGGTGTTTGAAAGAATTTCTTTTCTACTAAATTTTTGGTTAAATAGAAGTATTGCTTTGTAGGACGATAAAGATGCAGTCATGGATATGTATGAATTCCAAAAAGGGCGCGTCGAAGAGTACCTATCCGAGATGGGAGAGACCGGTTTCGAATCAAAAGATCTGCGCGGAAATGTGCTGAAGTACCATACTGAGCATTCGGACATTCCGGCCTGTATCAAAGATTTCCGAGATTGGCGGGCAGCTAATAAAAAACCTGTCAAGAAGCCAGCCGCTGCTGCCAGAGGACGGGGACGAGGGCGCGGAGGAGCCACCACTGCGACGCAGTCGCCACCTCGTCGGCGCAAAGCGAAAGTGGAAGAAATAACGATTGATGATGATGATAGCGAAGAGGAATACGTCCCTAGTAGCAGCAGAACAGCACGTGGTGGTCGTGGAGGACGATCGCGAGCTGCAAGTCAAACTGCGTCCACGCCTTCGTCACGCTTACCTGCTGCTGCTAGAGCCAGAGAAGGACGTGGTGCAGGATCTCGAAAACTTACAGAATATTTTGATGTCACTTAGTATTTCCACATTGATTTCTTTTTCGTGTAATGAATTATGGTGTTCTTGTTCTAGTGTGAGAACTACTATTGTGTTTTTGTATAGTCTGTACATACGAGAATTAGGAATCTGGAATAATCAGCTTATTGTGTTCCGTTATATTGCGTCGAGTTTTTATTGCTTCGTTGCTGTTAGCCGACTCGAGAATAAAAATAATTAAACTGTGGTCGAGGATTTGACGGCGAATGTAATATTTGTAGTTAACGTTATTCTCGTATGAGCTATGGCACACTGCAGCATTAAGATTTAAAAACGGTCAGACTTTACTGGCTCCACTCACAAAAATGTGTGGCTTGTGGAAATGTCTACGGGATTGCGGCATGAACACTTAGGTCTTAGAAGCAGGCATCTTGGGTGTTTCATGGTATTGGTCAGCATGACAGCACAGCTACTTAAGTCAAATTTTTTTTCCACACTGACAATCTTTATTGAGCGGTTCCTCCAAAAGCGCACCACTGGGCCAGAAAAATCCGGCAAAAGGCAATTATTTCTCCCCTATTTAACATTACATTCATCACAGTTTCACTATCTTCCCGATAACAAAATAAATGTAAGAACTAAGCATTTAATACTCTATAACAGAATGCCAATATTTCCGGTCTTCGCTCTGGTCCACCTTTTTCGCTTCCGAAACAGCATTAAGGGATTCGATCTTGCCCTCAATTTCTAACCATGAATACCGTGTATCGATCTGAAAAACAAAACTGCTAATAAGCATACTCCGGGACGTACCGGCAATATTTATTCGGGATGGATTAAACTATTAGAATGGACTTAAATCGTAAAAGCTGAAGTAGAGTTTATATTACTTCCACTGCAGGAAGCCCACCTAACGGGTATATGTGTACCAGGTACTGCAATTTATGCACCAAAAGTGCATCCAAATCTTGAGAACGATACTACAGATACTAATCATAATACCTCAGTAAGATTTAAACTCTTATTTTATAATTCACAATTACCGCATAGAAACCGTGACGATGATGCGTAATCATTTGCACTCAACAAAGAGTACTGGTACCTCTTCTGATATGACGTGCTGCAGGTCAACCAGGACCTGATGGGCATCGGCTGCAATTGTCCACTCCATAAAGTGCGATTCAATTAAAACCGCTATCCATGTGATTCCCTACATAAATAAAGCAAAAATATCGTTTACTGCAGTAAAAGATGCAAATTTATGTGTTCGGACAGCATCTACCACAGAAGCACTAAACTGAGGGAAACTATTTTCTTACGAAATTAATGCACAACTGTTGTAAAGCGCCACGATGCAAAGAAAAACACGAAATACTGGTATCGTATGAATGATTTAGTAAATTATGTACCTCCATAGTGCAAGGATTATCGTGGAGATTTTGGAGAATAAATTCGGCTGCGGCAACTATGGAAATGAAAGGTAATCTTCGTAATCTACTAAGCATTTTTCCATAGTCGAATCGGCGGCACAAGCAAGCTTCCCTGTAAAAAGTTACAGCAAGTTAAACAGATCTTGCCATTGCGAATTTAAAGCTGCATAACGCCAAAGCAGTGGTACTTACAAAAGCGCATTTTCGTCATCCCTAAATGCGGAATCTCCTTTAGAGACTTTTCCATTTAAATCAGAGCTCCGTGCGCAACGATTTCTATTAAATGCAGACCAAAACTTATTGCAACGAGAACGAACAAATGAAAAGAATGTAATGTATGTACTCATGAACGACTGCCAAACATCTGGAGAGAAACCACTCGGGAACAAACTCCACATGTCGCACACACAAGGTCATATTTCGAATATCCTTGTCGTTCGCTGTCATTCTAAGAAATTCTAAAATCCAACAAATAAGGGATCAGTTCCAAATCACCCTGTTTTTTCTGCACTTAGATAGTTCCAAAATTCCAATGTGCACGTTCACCAGCGAAAAAGTACTGCCGATGCGCTGCGTGCAGTTATGGGATAAACTGCAGAACCTTAAACGGTCCCCGGTCTTCCATACCAAAGAAGACTAAAAAATAACTAAAAAACCATTAGGTTTTCTAGATTCACCAGAGTTTGCGTGAGATAAGAGCTGCGTCGACGTCTGCGCACTGTTCATTTGCAGGAGGACGGCATACAAATCGGGTGGCGCCGCAACATTGTTAATAATGTGCAATTCCTGAACAGTATCATTCAGTTCAATCTCAGAATTCATAAACCTAACAACGGAAAGTAATGTTTTTAGCAAGAATCAGCCTGCTATGCCACCATGGTCGCTGAGCTTTACCTGGCCGCATCATCGGAATTCTTTAAGCCATTCGCTCTACTCTTTAACGCTTTCCTCTCAAATGCATTAAGCATCTTCCGCAATGTGGCCTCATCAATCGGCTCAACCTGTGAAGATATTGTTCCATCAAATGCTTTGTCGGAATTAATCACGAATGCCGGAAAGCGCTGATTTAAATTACAATTGGTACGGCATCAATCTTTGTGATCTCCTCTGAAACGTTTCCTCCCCTGCTGGTCAAAGTTTTCTTCAGTCCATTAGCAAGCTTCCGCATTTTCACTGAGGAATCGAGGTCTCCAGTCGCCCAATCATCGTTTCTCTTCTCGGACTTCTTAGTCTGTAGATTCATAGAAGAACTGAAAGAAACCAACGAGTTTTCGAGCATTGATATTTCAGTACATATCGTATACATACAGTATTTTCTGCAAACTTCTAAAAGACAGTTTTTAATGATCGGAAAAACATTACAGTACTAGCTAAAATAACGTTAAAACAAGAATTAAACCTCCGATTACTGATTTTGCAAGTACAACATAGGTGCCGATGTTTTACATTATGTAAGGTGGAGAACTTAAGCACACTAACTGACTAACTGCCAGCACGTGCATCATCACAGCTGCAAAACACTGCGGAAATCCTCACCTTGGAATAGGAATATCACCAATACTCATAACGAGGTGGAGGTCTCGATTTTGCTTTAAAATCTGAATACTCAATATTTAATAACAAACCAGGAGAAGTATTCCAAGGCTTTAGAAGAACTAACGGTGAGCCTACAGGATGCTATTCCAAAGCAGGAAAGCACCGTAGTATCATAGAGTCAAATGCTTCGCACAGTATTATGAATAATGAAACGGCGAACCAAGGCTGCTGATTACTATCAACACTTATCAGATAGCAAAAGTAGTAGCCAAAATAAAAAAATGTCATTAATTTCTTGATCGATAAAAAAATTGCTCCCACTTTCTGATATTTTATATTCAATTAAAATCATAATTTATTAAACGCCGATTCAGTGCCGACAACGGAAAAGCAAAAGAATTTTGAAAATTCAAGCCGCAAGCTTCTTTCGACTTTGTACAATTGTACGAGAGATTTTGCGGGTTTTAAACCGTACTCGAACCGTCTGTACAGTACTTACTGTGAGTACTTCCGTCTCTAGCGATTCCACTCAGCATTTCCGTCTCCATTTTTCAGAAATTCCATTGTTAATGGAATTAAACGGTAGTACCATAAATATGTACATGCTGCATTATTGAAATTTTGATTTGAAATTTGCTAGTTTCTGCCGTGTTCGTTTCCAGTTCCCACAATTGTAATACCGTACTACGGTAAGTATCCAGCACAAAAGTTCAGTTCATTGGAGAGTTTATGGAAGATCTCAACCCTTTTTTCTTATGGGTCGTGTTACTATGGTTTATTCATTTATTGGCCTTAGTATGAGCTATACAGTAAAATAAGAATTTTAAGTAAGACTTCTTTCCGAAAAACTCTTTGTATTGAGCGATCAGTTTATGCATTTGTGATTTGCTACTTTTATTTGCAGCTTTCTCGCTGCACCGGTATACCCGCAAAAAAAAAGTTCTGCTGTAAAGGACTAGAGCACGCCTTGAGCGAGCTTGTTTCTCACTCACCCTTCCATCTGGATTTTGTTTACAAAAACTCTGCACCCCTCACGAAAAGCGAATGGCGGAAGAAATACATTATCACTACCACCACACGCATCGTCGTCATCACGGAGGGAACGACACCTCCCAAGAAGGCAAAGAAGCAGAGATTATTAAACCCGGACACAGTATGAAAGATACAGAAGGCCGACAACAACATGAAAATTACGACAAGAGTGATCATGGTACTGGTACAGTGGTACTCATGGGCTGTCGCACTATGTGAAACCGCGAATATTTGAAGTATAGGTTTCATATCTGTATGATAGGATGAACTTAACTATTTAACTAGTAAGTTAAAGTTACTACTCTAACATATATTATAAATTAGCGCAGACTAAACAATAGGAGTATTTACATTAATGCTGTTTTTATTACTTATCAGTGTTAATTATTATCATTTGTCATTTTCTTCAGATTTCAGCCTGTTGCTTTCTGCCTCGTAGTTTTCACCGCTCTGCACCCGAAAATGTTACCTTAAACTAAAAACATCAAACTGAAATAATAAGCAACTAGACTAGTGAGCAATGAAAGTCTGTTTAGTACTCGTTTTTGACTTTCGAATGGCAATGCGGCATTCCATTTGAATTTGCTTTGAGAGTGCTTCTACAGCGTGATCATGAGCATGCAAGGGAGAATAATTATTCGGTTTGTGGTTGTGATATTTTATTTCTGTTTTAATATTAGTGTACCTTTTGAACATCTTGCAGCCAGCAGCGCGATTAAAACCATGCTGCAATAGCCTGTGCACGATTTTGCAGACGAAGAGCAGCATGTGCCCAGGAAAGTCCCAGTGAAGCTTTACCACACACGCTACTTCGAGAATCCTTTTCCGGAGTATTATGGGCAGCCAGTTGGCGATTCAGGGATAGCGTACCTTGAAGACGCGGTAACTTAAGTAAAAGATATAATTGCCCTAACAATTTTAATAGCCTTTTCTTATGACTGACCTTTTCCGCGCTTTGACCTTTCCCACGTGTAGCCGGGACTGCTGCGAAAGGTTTACCACTATTACAGCGAAGTAGATCTGACTGCACAACATGCAGACATCTACACTGGACTAGCAGGCGTTGCATATTCCTGCATGCGGATTGCTCAGACGCGGAACATTGCCGAGACGGATAGAAATGGCCGTTGGTCTAGGACGACGTCTTCTGGAGGCTGCACTGAGATACAGTGAAAAAGACGACGGTTTCCTTTATCGGTGCGCCGGGCGTCTTTGTTGTTGGGGCACTGTTTTACCACGCAACGGGG